TTCAGCCTTCCCAGCCCTACAAAGCACTTCCAGGACCTTGAACCTATTTCTGCACAGAAGGGCAAGGAAGCTGGGGACGAGACTGGAGCACAAGTCCTGTGATGAGCAGCTGAGGGAGATGGAGGTGTTTAGCCTGGAGGAGGCTGTGGTGACCTCATCACTCTCTACAACCACCTGAAAGGAGGCTGTAGCCTTGCAGTGGTCGGTCTCTTCTCCCAGGTAACAAGTGACAGGACAAGAGGATATGTCCTCAGGCTGTATCAGAGGAGGTTTAAGTTGAATATCAGGAGGAATTTCTTCACAGAAAGGGTGATTAGACACTGGAACGCGCCCAGGGAGGTGGTGGAGTCACCGCCCCTCGGGGTGTTTAAGACCCAGGGAGGTGGTGGAGTCACCGCCCCTCGGGGTGTTTAAGACCAGACGTGGCACTCGATGCCATGGTCTAGTCGCCATGGTGGTGTTGGGTCATAGGCTGGACTCGATCATCGCAGAGAACTCTCTCAACCTAATTCATCCCGCGATTCCGCACCACCCCAGCCCTGGCTGTGCCGGTGCCCTGGCGGACTGCCAGCCCGTCACGGTGTGCGCAGTGCCCCCGACCCTATGACAGCCCCTCGGCCCCACTCACACGCCTCCGTTCTGAGGGCGGGGGTGGAGGAGGGGGAGGTGAGGCGCGGCGTCCCGGTGACGTCACACCTTTCCAGAAGATTCCCCCCGGGGATCCCGCCGCTGCGAGCGCGCGCCGGGCCAATGAGCGAGCGCCGACAGGGCGGGGCGGGCTTGAACTGTCCAATGGGCGACGGCGGTTGGGAGGCGGGGGGGAGGCGGGCGGTCGCGCGGCGTGGCCACGCCTCCCCTGAGGGGGACAGCCAATGAGCGCGGCGTAGCGCGGCGACGGACAGCCCCCCAGGCCAACGGGGGCGTGGCGCGCGCGGGCGGGACTCCCCTGACGTGGCGTGCGGGGGGCGGGGGCGGGGGCGGCCCAGCGAGCGCGCGGCGCCCCGGGACAGCGGGAGCGGTGAGTGCCGAGGGGCGCAGCGCTGCCCCCCCGACCGCCCCCGCCACACACACCCCCCGGAGCCCCCACAGACCCTGCCCCTACCGCACAGCGAGCCTGTGGGACCGGCGGCGTCCGTCCCCTGCCCCGGGGGGTGTCACTGTGAGCGTGGGGCGGGTCAGGTCCCTCTCCCTGGGGGTGACGTTGTGGGGAGCGGGGGGGTGGACCCGTGCCCCGGGGGGTGACGGGGTGTCCCTGTGGGACTGGGGTGGGGGGGAAGCCCCCTGCTCCTGTGGGGTGACAGCGTGTCCCTGTGGGATTTGGGGCGGACACGCTCCCTGCCCCTGTGGGGTGACAGCGTGTCCTTGTGGGATTTGGGGCGGACACGCCCCCTACCCCCGAGGGGTAACAGCGTGTCCCTGTGGGATTTGAGGGGGACGCACCCCCTGTCCCCGAGGGGGTGACAGGGTGTCCTTGTGGGGCTGCCGTGGGGTGACAAGTTGTCGCTGTAGGGCTGGGGGGGATTTGTCACTCTGCCCTGTGGGGTAACAGCATGTCCCTATGGGCCGGGAGGGTCATGTCACCCTGCCCTATGGGGCTGGGGGGGGTCAGCCTCTCTGTGCCGTGGGGTAACAAGTTGTTGCCATGGGGTTGAGGGGGGCAGTACCCCTGCCCACTGGCGTGACAGGGTGTCGTTGTGTGACGGGGGGGTGGAGTCCCCCTGCCCTGTGAGGTGACGGAGTGTCGCAGTGGGGTCATCCCCCCTGCCCAGTGGAGTGACAGGCTGTCACTGTGGTTCTGCTGTGGGGTGCCAAGTTGTTGCTGTGGGGCTGGGTGGGGGTCAGTCCCTCTACCTGTAGAATGACAGGATGTCACTAAGAGACTGGAGGAGGTCAACCCCCCTGCCCCACAGGATGTTGCTTTGTGGCTGGGGGGTCAGTATCACTGCCCTGTAGGGTTATAAGGGTATTGCTACAGGGCTGGGGACGTTGGTCCCTCTGCCCATGGAGTGACAGCGTGCCCCTGTGGGCCTGGGAGGGGGCACTAACCCCCGTGCACCCATGGACTGACAGTCTGTCCTGATGTGGGGGTTAAAACTTTGCTTTATGAAGTGACTCTCCGTTGGGCTGGCAGGATCAGGCCCCCCCTTGCCTGAGAGATGACAGGGATTTGGTGACAGAGTTTTGCTGTGAGGCTGAGAAGGGGAGCTGACCCCCTCTGTCCCTTCATGGATGGGAAACACGAGCTAGCCACCCGGTCCTGTCACCATGGGGTGACATAGAGTCTCTGTGGGGCTGAAGGTGGGGGAGGAAGGATATATCTGCCTCTGTGGGGTGACAGACTTTCTTGGTGGGGCTATGGGTCAGGGCTAACTGCTCTGCCCTACACAGTGACCACATGTTCCTGTGGGTCTGAAGGGGGAGGCAGGAAGGGGTTAATCCCCCTGCCCCATAGCACTGACAGTGCATCCAAGTGGGGCTGGGAGAAAGAGGTTAACATCTCCACGATGGGGCTGCAGTACAGCCCAGTCGGGCGGGAGAGGGTGATGAAGTGGGAATTAATCCCTTTCTCATGTCCCAATTTGAAGGGAATAATGTGCCCTGTTTCAGCCGTGTGGTGTGGTCAGGAAGGGGTTAACACCTGTCACTGCCCTGGGGAGGGTACCAGTGTATCCCAGTGGGGCTCAACTGGCTGATGAGAAAGTGGATAACGTCCTCCCCGGGTGTCAGTAACAGGGTCGGAGGGACCAGCATGGAAGGGGTTAACCCCTGTCCCCAGTCGAGGTGGCAGTGTCCACCCCGAAGAGCTGGCAGCGAGATGGGAAGGGTTAACTTGCTTTCCTCTTGGGGCAGACATCGAGTCCCAGTGGAGCTGGATTGTGGCAAGGGGTCACCCCTGGACACATGTGGGTCAGTGGACTGGGTCGCAGCTCAGGGGCGAACCCCTTCCCATGCGAGTGACAGCTCCTCACCAAGGCACTAAATGGTCCACCCCTAAAAAGGACAGCGCTTGTGGGCTTGGGAGTGGGGTTAACCCCATCCCAGTGAAGTTCTTAGCTCCCCAGTGGGGGCTGGACAGGGGACAGGGAGTGGTGGTGTGTGCAATGAGGGCGCTTAACCCCACACCACTGTGAGCACCCTGGTGGGTCTGGAAAGAGGGTACCCTAAATGGGGGGGCTGCACAGGGGGGCTTGACCCCATCCCCACACCAGTATGAGCACCCTAGTGGGGCTGGAAAGAGGGGATCCTGCTTGAGGAGACGCTGGTGAGGGAAGCTTGATCCCATCCCTGCCCAGGAGCCAGCACTAGATAGGTCTGGAAATGGGAGACCCTGTCTGTGGGGGATGGTGAGTGGGGCTTGACCTCATCCCCACGCAGGAGGCAGCACCCCGTGGGCACGGAAATGGGAGACTCTGTGAGGAGACGCTGAGCGGGGGTCCTGGTCCGCGCCCACGCAGGAGGCAGCCGCCGACGGGGCTGGCAGTGGGGGCTGTGCCGACACAGGCAGCGAGGGGAGGGTTAACCCCGTCCCCACGCAGGTGCCGGCACCCCAGTGGGGCTGTCGGTGGGGAGGGGGAGGCGGGCGGTGCGTGTGGGGGCTCGGGGAGGGGATGATTCATTGCGGGTAGTCATGACATTGCTGCCTGGTTGCCTGCGGCTGCCATCCAGCACGGGCACGGGTGGCTCTGCCTGCCCCGGCACGACAAGATCCCCTCCAGCTCCCTGACTGAACCCAGGATACGCTGCCATGCCGGCCATCCTGCTCTTCTGGAGCCGCGCCGAGAGGTATGCGCTCCCTCGGCACCCGAAGCCCGCCGATCCCACCCGGCACTCGGAGCGCAGCGGGACCCCCGGCCCCCGGCGACGCAGCGGGATAGGGGCTGTCGCCCTCCTGGCATTTCACTTCCCGAGGGTGGGATGCGGGAGCTGCCCGGTGATGTCCCGGCATAGCTGCCCAATTTCGGTGTGGAGCGTCCGGAGAGGATGCTCTCCGTGGCCCGCGAGTGGCGGTGACGGACGGGGGGACGCGGTGGCATTGGCTTTCCTTGGCGCGCCTGAAGGTGACTTCTCAGAAGTAGGTTTTTGCGCCTTGGGCTCGGGGGACGCACCGTCCCCATCCCGCTGCCCTGCCGTCGCTGGGAGCTCCTGGTCGGTCCTGGGCGGGAGAGCGGCGCTCAGAGCCCTTCTACGGGGGGACCGGTGCCGGCACCCGGTGAGGGGGATACAGAGACCCCCGCACATCCGAAGGGGAAAGCTGGGGAGGTGCACATTGGTTAACGTGACTTTTTTCCATATGAACGCCGCCCTACTTTTCTCCCTCCCCGATTCGCCTGGCGGGTGCACAGCCCTGGGCGTCAGCAGAGTCGTTTCTGGGGACACCGAGGGGCTCCTGGCTGCTCTCCCTGCTCCTCGGCGGGGGCTGCGCGGGGGACGTGCCAGTACCGGGGCTGCCGGGCGCCTTGCGGCAGCAGGGAAGGAGGATGCAGGAACTGACGGATTAAGCAGAAGTGTCTTAATCCGTCGGTTTAGCGAGAAAGCGTCGAGAAACCAATTAAAGGGAAAATTACAGCACGGCGAGCGACTCCATTGAAGGGTCTCTCCGCGCGCGGCTGGGAAGCGCACAAAGGACGGCAGCTCCCCAGCAGCACCGCGTCGACCAGAGCCCTTTCGGAGCCACCCTGGGAGTGAGGTCAGAGCCAACCGCGGCCGCCGGGCTGGCGAGGAGCTGCCCTTTGGGTGTGCCTGGGGAGCTGGAGGGGGAGGCTCGCCACCAGAGCATCCCTTGTCGGCGGCGGCATCCCCGGCACGAGCCGGCACCTTTCTCCCCGCCGCCCTCCTCCCACCCTCCAGCGCCTCCCGGCCGGGCGCACAGCACCTGCCGGCGCCTGCGGACAGCCGCGATGTTTAAAATAAAACTAGAGCCCTTAAAAATGACAGCTTGGACTATGAATGTGTTCGTAAAGTTTCGGTAAGTGGGTTTCCGCCTCTCGACCTTGTGTCCTCATTAAACCATCAGCGCCTGTCTCCGGCATCCCGCGGTGACCTTGCACCCCGGGATGGAACAAAAAAACCCTGGCCAGTGCCGCTGCCGGGCTGGGTTTGTTCCCTTAGATGACTGCCGAGCGGAGGGATTATGTCAAGCGATCGCTATTCAGCTGGCGCGCTCACCCAGCGGTTGCTCGGGCTGATGTCATGTGCGGGGCCGGAACAAAGATTTATTCTTTATTTAATTATTTTTTTCTTTTGGTGTGGTTGCGAGAGGAGGATGGAGGCTGGGCTGGCTCGGCAGTGCCAGGGGATGCCTGTGGTTTTCTAAGGCAGGGTGGCCGTGGCTTATCCAAAGGCGTCTGCTTTGGGAGGGAGATGCAGGAATGGCTTTTCCTGGCTGAAACCCCCCACCGCTCCCGAGGGGGTTAAATGGGAAGGCAGGAGAGGATGACTGAGCAGAAGGGGGAGAGGAGCGGTGGCAAGGCGCAGCTGATCCCAGAGAGGTGGGAGGGAAGGAGGGAGGCTCTGCGGGGACAGAGTCGTGTTTTACCACCATTGTGCATGTGAGCTGAGCCTTGGGAGCGTGCCTTAACCCACCGGGTCACCTGGCAGCACCTGGTCCTCTCCAGCACGGTAAACCGCGGCACCGGGATGCATTTCGGTACAGGAATCCCCCCCTCCCTATGCCCAGCCGGACAGAGGGCTCTCTGGTCAGGAGAATATCCTTGGCAGGCATCCCCAAAGACCCCTCAGTGGGCAAGACCAGAGATCTTTCAGGGGGCAACAGCATTTGCCAGAACAGGATGTATTTTCATGGGAAGCCTGTTTTAATGTATTTTCGTATTTTCCGTGGAGTTTTGGCTGGGTGACGGGGTCCCAGTGGTGCTGCCGAGTTGGGCTGCGCGGGGTCAGAGCTGGACACTGTGGTGCTTGTGGGGGGACAATAGAAGGATTGTCACCTCTGTTGCCGGAGCCAGGGTGTGACGGGGTTGCCTTCAGTGCTGCTTGGTTTGCCCTCGCTGTGGGAGGGTCAGCATCAGCCAGACAGGGCCAAATCCTGATCCTGGTCCTGGTGCTGGTCACAGGGAGCCCCTGTCCTCCACTGGAGGCTGCTGTGGGGAAGGGAGGCGTTGGAGTGACCTTTGTGTGGAGGACATTGACAAGTTAGCTCTTGGTGCTGCTGCCTGTTGCTCACCCCAGGGCCTCCCGCAGCCCCCCAGCCCCGCGGGGAGGGGAGATGGGGGTGGGCAGGGGGCAGAGCATCCCCCAGCGCCTGCGTGGGCTGGGTGCTGCCGGCGTCTCTGCGCGCAGGAGCTGCACCACGAGAGATGCTGTCGATGCTCCTTACGCCCCCAGGGACCTCCTCCCACCTCTTCTGTGCCCCTTGAGCTGCTGCACGTGTCTGCAGATGCCTCCATCTCCCCTAATTTAGCCTTAGCCCCCCCTCACCATCTACAGCAAAGTACCTGCTCCATGGCTGGGGCAAAAAAGAGCAGAGGTTGATGGTTTGGATGGAGGTGGCCAAGTGTGGGGCCAGTTTCCAAGGTGGTCATTGTCCAAGGCGTGGCCCAAGGAAAGTGTTGGATGCTTGGTGTGGATGCTAAGGGCTCTCTGTAGCAGTGTAGGGATGGATCCTGGGGGAGCACAGCCACCTTTGATTGAGCTGCTGTGGTTGAGAGCTCCAACAGGATCTCAGGGACAGAATAAGAGTGGGGAAGAACATCTGGTAGCTTGCATGGTGGTGAAGAAAAGGGTGAAGGCTCACACCCTGTGCCAAAATCCATGTGCTGGAGTGGCACAGTGAGCTGAGGCTGCTCGGGGGTGTTTGGGCAGGGTGAAACCTGGACTGTAGCAGAGAGCAGGATGCGAGCAGCAGGAGAGCAGGGAGTCTGCTGGGACAGTGCCTGGGAGGAGCAGGGCCAGCAGCAGGCACTGAGTCGTGGTTTGGGGAGTGGGGGAGCAGGAGTTTGCTGTCAGATAACCAAAGGTTGAGGAGCATGGGGTTTGCTCAGCCTCTGCCTGGAGGAACAGCCCTCCCTTCTCCTGTGGCTGCTTCCTGGGTCGGTGCCACTCCAGTGGCGTGACTGGGGGATGAATTACGGCCACCGGGTTTTCCATGCCTTAGTATAGGCATAGGCATGGCCACGGCCTCAGCCCCCGCACGATGGAGCGAGTGAGCCCTGGGTTCCTGCCTTACTGCAAGAGGCGGTTGGAGGCTCTCGGGGAGTGCAAGTCAGGCTAAAAAGTGTTGGATTTTTTTAAAACAAAAAAATAAAAAAGCCCTCCCACCATCACAAGATGTTTCTGTCTAACGGCTCTTTTCTCTCTTCGCTAAATACAAATTACGGCTCTGACAGCCGGAGGCGCTTATCTCCAGCTGAATGCCAATTGCTTTCAGGAACAAAATGTTTGAAGTTCCTCTAAGGTGAAGGCGCAGCATGGTCCCTGCCACTGCTTTCAGTCTCCAAAAACCTGCTGTCATCACCCCGACTTGGGTCTCAGGTCCCCAGCTGGGAGAGAACCAGGCGAGGGGGTGGACACAGGCCGGCAGCTACATTTAGACATAGCTCAGCCCTCCTGACTCAGCCAGGGGGGACGGACAGGGATGTAGTCCTGGCCTGACGTTGGCAGTGGCGTGGCCCCTATAATAGCGCCGTGCCCCGACTCAGGCTCTCTCTCCCTGTCAGCCTCGGAGATGAGTCTGTCTATCCCTGCTGTGGGGCTCAGAAGGGTAGAGCCAGAGCTGGGACACCTTCTGGCACCGGGGCTCTGACCTCTAGTGGGAAGCGTGGACTGGAGCCGGCTTTGGTGCTGCTGGCCAGCGGGACGTAGGGAGCGTCGGCTCCGCGATAAGTGCGTGCCAGTGCCAGTGTGTGCCGGCCCCATCCCTGGCTGCCCCAGGGCGATATTCACCTTACGAAGAGCTGTCTTTCTGCTTTCAGGAATAAGTACTCAGCTCCCGGTAGTGTTGCTGTCATGGGGAAGGACTATTACAAGATTTTGGGCATCCAGAGCGGCGCCAATGAGGATGAAATCAAGAAAGCCTATCGGAAAATGGCCCTGAAATACCACCCTGATAAGAACAAAGACCCCAACGCCGAGGAGAAGTTCAAGGAGATCGCAGAGGCTTACGATGTCCTGAGTGACCCCAAGAAACGAGCCGTTTACGACCAGTATGGGGAGGAAGGTAAGGAGATGAGCACTTCCCACTGGGAGGCAGGAGTGTGGGGTTCAAATTGGTTTTGCAGGAGAGGGAGAGTTTTCACACATAGGTGTTCCACTGTTCCATGTCTGCTCCTGAAGTGGGACTGGTAGCCACAGAATGGGGGAGACTGAATGCTCCACAGGCACCAGAAATCACCTCTCATCCCCCTCCTCCCCGGGCTGCTCCACTTTTCCAACCTGCTGCCTTGCTCCCTGGGGTGGCTGGGCTTCTCCTGCCCTCTGCCCCAAAACCTCGGGTGTGGGCTGAGAGATGGAAGTGGAAGGAGCTCATCTCCTGCATCATACCTGGGGTAACTCATTAGCTACTCTTTAACTGACCTAAATAAAGCACCAGAGAAGTATTGCTTTTGCCCACATGCCCCCTGCATTTGGGCACTGGTCCCGCTCTCCTCCCTGGTACAGGCTGACCTACTGGATTCAAAGCTTTTCCCAATTTAAGTAATAGACCCTTGTTTTGAAACCAAGAGGCTGCTGTTGTCTGGTGGTTGGCATGGAGGAGGAGGAGGAGAGCTGCTCCAACGCAGGCAGCCTTATTAGTCGAAGATGGAAGAGCACAACCCCATTCAAGGAGAATGCTGAATAGCATCTGCATTAATCAGCCCAGGACTTGGGTGCTTAAAAGAGCAGGAGGTCTGGCAGGAGCAGGCTGCTGGATGGAGGAGACAGCCCCTCTTTCGGGCAGGTGCATCCCCCTCACAAACCACCAGCAGAATTAACCAGCGATGGGTTAATTGTCTACCCTTTAGTTATGTCAGGGCTATAATGGGTGCACCAGGCACAGTGATTTTGCCACCCTGTAAAATGAGAAGAGACTGCCTCAAGTGGGAAAACAGCTTTTCCCGGGAGGCCTTGATGAAATCGGACCCCACTCATGCTGGCGTCATGGGATTAAAGGTGAAACCTCCTGGCTGCACAGTCCATTAGGGACAGGGGCTCACTGGGGATTTGGCGAAATCCCCATCGCCTGCAGGCATCTAAAATAAGAGTGAGTTAAGGAAGGAGGGGAGAGCCCACCCTCATTGCCTCATCAGGTTAAACACCTTCTCCCCCCTTGCCCCATCAGCATTAGACGAGTCCTGGTCCGTGACCCCACACGCCTTTTGTTTCCCATTTTTTGGAACAACATGTTGGTGATTGGTATTTTGAGGAGCTTCTGGATCCTACAGGCTGTGATGGGCAAGGTGAAGCAAAAGCCCCTCTGACCCACCCAGAATATTAACTTCATCAATCAGAAGAGACCCCCAAACTTGTCCTGCTGTGAAGGGAGGTGGGGGCATGGCGCAAGGGACAGCCTGTCAGAAATAGCCCTTCACTGTCACTGGCATGCCCTGAAAATAGTCCCTGAGCTCGGCTTGGCTTAACCCTTCCCACCCCTCCTGGTCAAAAATAGCCTTGCAGAGTGTGTGTGACCTCTTCTGGGGGGCACTTCGAATGTGCCTTGGGACCTGAGGGGAGTTGCAGTAATATAAGGCTCAGTCTGGGACCCAGCAGGAGAGATTTCCATGGGAAGGGTTGCCAAAAGATCCAAACCTGGATCTTACCTGGTGTTTTATACAGTCGGTATGCAGGAGCTGCGTGCCGACCTGGAAGGTTGCCGACTTCCACCTGCTCATAGAATCGTGGAGGTTGGAAAAGGTCTCTAAGATCATTTAATGTAACACTGCCATGTTCACAGGTGCCACGTCCACACACCCTCTGAACACTTCCAGGGATGGTGACTCCACTACTTCCATGGGCAGCCTCTTCCAATGCCTGACCGCCTGTTCTGTGAACAATTTTTTCCTAATGTCCAGACCAAGAGGCAAGGCTATTGGGGCAGACAGGAGTGTGCTCATGGGGAAAAATGGACATGGGCTAATCAGGATATATTTTAAATTAAAATACTCTGAATTGGGTGGAGAAAGCCGAAGAAGCCCTTCAGTAGGGACAGAGGGGCAAAACCTGAATGGAATTTGAGCTTGCTGGGTGTAGGGGCAGGACTATGTGTCATGGACAGAGGTGGTGCCCGCCTGGCCCATGGTCTTCACAAGTGGCTAAGCTGGAAGGGGTGACCTACACACCCAGGAGATACTGGAATAACTGCCTGCAGGCCACAGAGACCATCCTCCCATCTGGAAAGTGCAGTGCCAGCACAGCATCCCCCAGCAGATGAGCTTTCATGTCTTATCTTCCCACTTCTCTTCCAGGTCTCAAAACTGGAGGTGGTTCTTCAGGTGGCTCAGGAAGCACTTTCCACTATACCTTCCATGGAGACCCCCATGCCACCTTCGCATCCTTCTTTGGAGGCTCCAACCCTTTCGACATCTTCTTCGCCAGCAGCCGCTCCCGGATGTTCAATGGCTTTGACCAGGAAGACATGGATATGGATGATGACGATGACCCTTTCAGTGCCTTCGGCAGGTTTGGTTTCAACGGCATCAATGGGGTTCACCGGCGGCACCAAGAGTCCCTGCACACACGGAGGAAGGTCCAAGACCCTCCTGTCATCCACGAGCTCAAGGTGTCCCTGGAAGAGATCTACCACGGATCCACCAAGAGGATGAAGATCACGCGCAGAAGGGTCAACGCTGATGGCCGGACCATGCGGACTGAGGACAAGATCCTAAACATTGTCATCAAACGGGGTTGGAAGGAGGGAACCAAAATCACATTCCCCAAAGAAGGGGATGCCACCCCAGATAACATCCCTGCCGACATCGTCTTCATCCTCAAGGACAAGCCTCACTCACACTTCAAGAGGGATGGGACAAACGTGATCTACACGGCAAACATCAGTCTTAAAGAGGTGGGTATAGGTGGTAAATCCCCCGGGCCGGGAGGTGGCACTGGGTCATGGCATTTGGGGCCACGATGGTAGTCAGTCCCTCTCCCAACACTGAATAGGAAGGACCAGGTAGGTCATGAGAAAGGAGCTGCAGAGGCCAACTCCCTCTTGGTTTTGGAGATGCTCGACCTCCATGCCGGGTGTAGGACATGGATGCTGTGGTCCCTTGAGCCAGTACAGGTGGTATTTATCCATTTTTTCCCTTCTCCATATGTCTTGTTTTTCTGTTTTAGCGTAGGGTATTCACGTGTGGAACAGAGCCCAGATACTCTGTAGGAACAAGGGAAAACCCGCGTTGGCTAGCAAGAGTCTGATCCCTGCTCTTCTCATATCTGAGCCTGCTGTGGCTTAGTTACTGCCCAGGATGGCACCAGGTGCCTCTCCCTGTGGGCAGAGAGCAGGGTCACATGGAGGAAGGTGATCCTTCACCCTCCCTGAGCAGTGCTTTAGCTGTTTTCCTTGGTTCTGGCTTTCCTAAATAAGGAACAAAATAGATGAAATATCCAGGCAGTGAGTAAAACTCAACGCATCCAGGCTGCCAGTCCTGGAGGTCGTGGCCAGGCTGGGTGCATCAGAGCCAGCAATCTGTGTGAAGGTGGGAAAGTGGAGCTTACCTCAGTACAAGATGTGCTGTTCACTGCTGCTGCTGCTGTATAACTACCATATAATAAATCCCAGCTGGCAGCTGCATTTAACATTGACGTTTTTGGCAGCTGCCATTTGCTATTCCTTTCAGACGGTAGACGCTGTCTGTCTTCTTAATGAGCTGATTTTTTTTTTTCCTTCCTGAAGGCAGATTTATGTTCTGAAGTGCATTTAATAGAAATAAGCTCAATGGGCCAGACTTGAGGTAGGGAAACGTGAGCTTGTGAAGTGTGCCAGCGAGTCAGGAGAGCTCTGCGGCGGCTCTGCATCCCAGCTGGGGCTGTGACAACGTGTACTGGGGGCAAAGAGGAGCCACGTGGGTCAGGCAGAAACTGGGCACTCTTGGAGCAAACTCAGCTCCAGTTAAGCTGCAAGACTCAGGAGTTCAGTTTCCCTCACAGTGTGAAGTGCAGAGGTTTATTCCTGCAGTGGCTGGTTCCTGTGGCCGATCCAGAAATACTTGGGAGAGAATGCCTTATTTATGGAGCCATGCATGCCATATCTCAGATATTTCCTTCTGTTTGTTCCCCTTATCCATAAAATTAACCCTGAGCTGTCTGTGCTGATGTCCAGACCATGTTAGCCCAGGTTTGTGCACTGCCCAGGCTGGAGGGACTCTTGCCTAGAGTTGACCTTTGAGAAGCAACTGGAGAAACCTGTTCCAGCCTCGCGTGCTGTGTTGCACCATAAGTGTTGAACACTTGTGATCTCTGTGCTGGCACTGGGTTTGCACAATGCAGTCACAAAGTGGAAAATTGCTGGTCCAGGCAAAATTCCTCATTTCTTTGAGCTGGAATTTCTGGTCTCTGTCCTTCCTCACTGCAAGCCCGACATGCTGGGTGTCCTTATGGAGCTGCTGGCCTGGCTGCCTTCCCTAGCCAGGGCTATACTCTGCTGCTTTTATCTTCTGTGAGAAGAAGTTCCTTAAGTTCTCTGGAGCACGAGCAGGTGCTGAGACCTCCCCAGCTCTGGATGCTGCCACGTCAGTACATGATAGAGTACAACCTCTTCATTGCCTGAGCCTCTGGTCACAGCCTTTCACCCTTCTTCCTTGCAAGGCTGCCTTTTTTAGCCTGAGCTTTAGTCTCTGCTGCTGCCATGAGAGAGCGCAGTGCCAGCAAAGCTGGCAGGCAGTGGGTCCTGTGACCCCACTCACTGCTGTGCTGAAGGCCCCTCCCAGCCCCCTCCAGCCCTGCTGGATGCCTGGCCAGGGCAGTGCAGGTTGCTTGCCACCTGTCCGCTGCAGAATCAGAGGTGTATGAGGGTTACTCCAGGGACTCGTCGACTTCCTTCCTAAAATTACAGGCGTGTGCCGCAGCAGGAAGCCGCGGGAGGGAGGAGAGGCGTTTCTCCACCAGCAGCTGCCTCTGGCAGGAGGCAGTGCTGCCGGCGGGGCCTCGTGCCCGCCTGGCTGCCAGGCTAACGCCTGCCCTCGGCACCGTCCCGCTTTGCATCCTTTACCTGGCGTCACCTTCCTCAAAGCATCCACGCGTCAGCGCCCGGCTGAGACGCGACCGATGGCGACGTCCTCCCCGGCAGCTCCGCTGCGAGCGGAGGAGGACCCGGCGCTGACCTAGATAGAGCTCTGCTCGCACAGCACAGCACTCAGCTATCAAACCCAGGGTGATTTCATCCCTAGGGATAAACCAAACCTCTTTCTAGGATGCGGGGTAGCTCCCGCGGTGACTGGTGTTACTTCAGCAACCGGTTTCCCAAATGCCAGTGAAGTTGAGCAAGAGGAATGAAAAACAGGGACATACGGTGGAGGAGCGATCGCCTCGGATTCTTGCGTCTTGGCTTTGGGAAGGAAACATTAAGATCCCGTCTGCCTTCGCTGTTACCGCCTGCTCTGTTCCCATCCCTCTGCTTTCCTCATCCACGTGTTCCCATAGGGAGTTCTTGTTCTTCTTTCCATTTTGTGGCTGGAGATGTCCTTTCACTGGCACACATGTAGCTGTGCAGCCCTCCGTGGCACACGGCAAGTGGGCACCAGCGAGCAGGAGGGCTCTGGCATCCTTGGGTGAGTGCAGGGCAGAAATTCCTTGATGCTGGGAGGTTGTCCTTGTTTCCCTCCCACGACCTGCTGGAGATCAGCCAAGCACCTGTTGCTCGCACACAGCTGGCGATGGCATCTTCATGCAGGCAGAAAAGCTCATCCTTGGAGGACAAGCTTCCCAGGAGGAGGCCTGTGCAGATGAGCCATGCAAGGAGACAACATCCTTTCTCCTGTTCTCTCACCAGAGACCCCCAGCTGGCTCTGGCACAGACCCCTCTGTGAACCCCCTGGTGCAAAGCCCTGATTCACCTGCAGAAGCCATGTCCATCATCCCTGAGCCAGTGGCCGGCACGAGAAGAGATGTTTCTCCTGGTGCCTGTTGCTGCTCTGCCACTGGAGGCTTTTCCTGGGGAGGGGAATGCAGAACATTGTCCCACCTACCCCAGAAACAGCAATTGCATCTTCTCCCCCTCCCCTTGCAGGGCATTTTGGGAGGACTGGGACTCCCAGGACCCAGTTCAGGGTGGCAAACCTGAGCCAGCCCCCAGGCTGTACAGCTCAGGGCTGTACCTCAGCAAACAACCCCCCACTTCCAGAAGCATCGCTCCGCAGTCCTCTCCATCAGCCTTTGCTGAAAGCCTGGAGATGATCCTGCCCACATGTACGCCAGAGCTGTCTGAGTTATTTAAGGACACAAGGATTTTCTTGCTGCATTCCCGCATCACGTGGCTCGCCAGTGCAGGCCGGTGTGTGCCTGCCGCCCACCGCCCCGGCTGCTTCCGGAGGCTGGGGTACAGCGAGGTGGCACCCCCGGCACTGGCTCCTGGCTTTGCCATGGGGATGGGTGACCCATTGGCTGGTTTCCTAGGAACCAGCCCCTTTGGCAGCCTGGCTCCCAGGAAAGCTCGGTACTGTGCCATGGCCACACCATCATCCCGCGTCAGCGTAGCCTTGTGGGGGCTGTCAGTGGTGGGGATGGGGCACAGGCTGTGCTATAGATAACCCCAGCACCAGGCAGAGCTGCCGTGCTCCAGAGGGTGACAGCTGATGAGTCGTGGTGGCATCCCATGATCTCAGCTGGATTTTCGGCTGCCCGAGGCTGGACAGGTGCTAAATTTAGCCTGTCCTGTTGCTGTGGGTGGCTTGGTGCTTGCTAGTGGTGCCTCCTGGGGAGCCCAGGAGGAGGGGAGGGAAGTCCTTCCCCCAGTGAGGCTGGGGCACCCCTCTCCTGCATGGCTTCTGCAGCCCAGTTCGTGGTGGTTAGACTGGGCTGGCACCAGCAGAGAGCCGGGCTTGCAGTGGTGAGCATCACCCCGTGCTCTTGGGCATCGTCCAAAGGGACCTGGGTGGTTTGACCCAGGGAGCAGCCGGTGGGGGGACGGGGTGTAGCTGTTGGGATGCTTTGGGGTGTCAGCCGCATCTGATGGCGTGTCCCCTCTTCTCCCCTCAGGCCTTGTGCGGCTGCACAGTGAACATTCCCACCATCGATGGAAGGGTGATCCCACTTCCCTGCAACGACATCATCAAGCCGGGGACAGTGAAGAGACTGCGTGGGGAGGGTCTGCCCTTCCCCAAGGCCCCCAGCCAGCGAGGAGACTTGATCGTGGAGTTCAAAATCCGCTTCCCAGACAGAATAGCTCCCCAGACGAGACAGATCCTCAAGCAGCACCTCCCATGCTCCTAGAGCCCTGGGACTCTCCTCCAAAGCAGCAATACTCCAAACGCATGTGCCACAGCACCTGGCCTGCACAGAGCCAAGGTGCCACAGCACTTTTAAATGCAAAAAAAAAGACAACCACCCCTCACACTACTTTCCCTCCCCAAAAAACCCACCCGACCCACCCCCCATCCATTCTTCTTTGCCAGTTTTCTACTCCAACAATGGGGAGTCTCCTGTCTGCCACAGGCTGCCAGACTTTTTCTTTCTCCCCAGAGGTCCAGCTTTCCTGCCTCGCACGAGCGAGAGCCGTGGGCCCTTTGCCCCGGGAGGTGCGTCGCGTCGTGGGTTTTTTATGTCACCTGCTTTTCAAGCCACTCTTTCCACAAGAGGCTGGACTTGTCGGGGTCCAGCGCAGTGTAAATAGGACTCCGCAGGATCTGGCGTCCCCGCTGCTGGTTTTTCTCTTCCCCTCTTTGATACTTGCTGCTGTTTGGGGTCCCGGCTGTCCCGCGGTGCCAATTACTCCTGCCCGCGGTGGCCCCCCCAGTAGCCGGACTATTTCTCACCTGGGACCACGGTACCGAGTCCGGCCGTGGCCCACTCTCCTGTGCCAAGCCTACACCGAGCCTCGGCAGTGCCAAACAACGGAGCATGTGGGGATGGTCCATCCAACCTCCTGCCCCTGCCTGGGGATGTCACCGGTGCTCGTGGGCACAACCTGCCTGCACCTGCTGCCCACAGGGCCCCAGCCAGCAGGAGGAGGGGGGAAAGCCCAGGGTGGAGCTTTCTTTTTTCAGATGTGTTGAGTTTGCATTGCTGCTTTTATTTTTTAAATACATATATATAGAGCTCATTAGATAAACTTCGTAAAGGTTTTTCTCTGCCTGTTTTGGGGATCCTGGCCTGACGCACCCAGGCTTTTTTGCAAGGGGGATGATTCAGCCACACGAACAGCAACCCCCCAGAGGGGGAGTGTGTGTGCGTGTGGCACTAATCTGGGTGCAAAAGCAGAGCCAAGTGTGAGCAGAGTTGTGGGTTTTACTAGTGTTTCAGGTCAACCTTAGGGATTCTAATAAGAAGAGAGAGGCGTGTGTATATATTTTTCTACAGGGACAATTCATTCAGGAGGTGTTTCTGGACATCAGGGCGGAGCTGGGAGGTGCATGAGGCAATCTGCTTGGTGGCTCTATTTTCAAATACTGTATTTTTTTAAAACCTTTGGATTTCCATCAGGAGAATTTTTATATTTCTTACCTTTCTCGGCCCACTCTGCCTCATGCCAGTTTTTTTTCCCCAGAAAAGGGCTGCTATGGAGCGGGAGGCGCGTTCGACCTGGCTTTGTACAGCTCCTATTTCACCGCAGCACCGCCGAGAAAACCCCCCTGCCAAAATAATTCCCCCCACCCCGGGAATCCTTTTTTTGTTTTGTTTTGTTTTGTTTTGTTTTGTTTTTAAAAAAAAAAAAACAAACTAATTCACTGACTTGAAATGGGGTGTCCTTGGGGCGGGGGGTTGTGCGGGGGGTGTCCGTGGTGTACAGCTGTACAGTGTCATCCTACGGGGCGAGGAGACCCGTGAGGCGCTGATTTAATCAATCGCCCGCTTCGGCCGGCGAGGGGATGCCACTGGCTCCCTCCACTGGTCCCTGTGGAGTTCGACAGTAGAGAAATCTGGTGGACGCCGTGAGCGAGAAGACAGGCCAGCGCGCAGATGCAAGCTGATTTGTTTTACTCGGTTTCAACGAGACCTGAATGTTTTATAGTGGATTTTTTGTAATTTTTTTTCTTTTTTTTCTTTTTTTTTCTTTCCTTTTTTTTTTTTTTTTTTTTTTTGTAATGTCAGTATTGAGAGAAATAAAGAAGTATTTTGAAAAATACACTTCCTCGAGGGTGTGTTGTGATGGGAGATGCCGGGGCTCTGTGCCAAAGTCATCACCACCGCCAGCCAGGGACCTTGAGGCTGGCAGGGAGGGGAAGAAGAAATTTGTTTGCAGGACCTTCAGGGCCTGATAACAAGGGGATGGGAACAAATACATGACCTGCTTGGTCACAGAAAGGCTGCTCCCCTTTGTACGTGGCCTTAGTAGTGCTGACCACATTGCAGGGGACAGGAGCAGGGGTGAGAGCCTCAGTGTCCCCTCAGGGCTCTGGGTTGTGGTGACATGGGCAGTGGGAGGGTCAGTGAAGGGATCTCTTTGCTGGCTGCACGGAGGGGCTGGAGACACAGCAGTGCCCATCCCCTCTCCAAGGAGCCCCGGGACAGGGCAAGAGGCACAAGTTGCACAAGCAGCACAGCCCCTGCTGATATGTTTTGCACAATGTTTGCACAATGTTTGCACAATGCTCCCATGAGGATCAACACACAGGGACAGGAGATGAGACCAAAACGCATGTGCCCATCTCCCAAGTCCAGCGTGTGGCTCAGAAGGGTTTGATTTTGGACAAGAATAGCCAATGAATAAAACTGTATATACTGCTTGCTATGTAACACTGCCTATTACCATTTCCATGGCTGCTATACTCCCATCACCATCACTGGGCACTGGGTTTGGGGATCTGAACTCCTTTCATTGCCACATTAACAGAGGATGGGCTTTGATGAAACCAGCCAACTTTTCATGGAAAAGTTGGTGATGGAATCAAAACTGGTTTCAACCTGTGACACCACCACACACTGTCTTTCCTGCCCTGAAAGACTGTTAGGACAGATGGAGCTCAAGGTCATGGACTGAATGAACTCAAGGGACTTTTATAGGAGTGGTCCATCAACAAATGGAATGGTATCTGTGTGTGTATCACCATCATAGAGTCATAGAGTGGTTTGGGCTGGAAGGGACCTTGAAGATCATCTCTCTTCAACTCCTCTGCCATGGGCAGGGACACCTTCCACTAGACCAGATTGCTCAGAGCCCCATATAACCTGGCCTTGAACACTTCCAGGGATGGGGCATCCACAACTTCTCTGGGCAACCTGTACCAGTGCCTCACCACCCTCACAGTAAAGAATTTCTTCCTAATATCCAGTCTAAACCTACCCTCTTTCAGTTTGAAGCCATTACTCTTTGTCCTGTCACCACAAGCCCCTGTCAAAAACCTCTCCCCATCCTTCTTGTAGACTCCCTTCAGGCACTGGGAAGGGATCAAAAGACTGATATCAAAAGACAGGAAAGGTGATGGGGTATTGGGAAGTAGGGGACCTGGCATGATGTAAATTGTATGGAGTAAATAAGTGGTGGTTTCAGCTGGAAAAGAGTTAATTTTCTTCCTAGTAGCTGGTTCAGTGCTGTGTTTTGGATTCAGTATGAGAATAATGTTGATAACACACTGATGCTTCAGCTGTTGCTCATCAGGGCTCACTCTAAGTCAAGGAATTTCCAGTGTCTCATGCTCTGCCAGTGAGCAGGTGCACAAAAAACTGGGAGAGAGCATAGGGAGGAGAGCTGACCCAGACTGGCCAAGGGGATATTCTGTACCATCATTCTGAAACATCATTCCCAGCATATAAACTGGGGGAAGGTGAGCAAGGAGCTGTGTGGTACGTAGTTGCCATCTGTGGTTAAACCACAACAGTTGTTTTTGGAGCCCAAATGGGCCTGGAGAGTTGAATAACAACAGATCTGAGCAGAGCATGTTAAACCATATTTGTTATGAGCATTTATTGTACTACTTTAGTAGCTGATGGTCACGAAGTTGGTTGGTTTGCACTCAGAGTGCTTGTGTGTGTTCTCACAGGCACATTATGTAGCACCTTGCTTGGTGTGAGTTCCCTATGCTGGTGTTCATCCTCCGTGGGGCCTGGGTGGGCTGTTCTTCGCAGTAGTGGCTGATAGATGTCCCTAAGTGCCACATCTACACCGCCCCTGGAAGTGTCCAAAAAAACGTGCAGGTGTGGTGCTCAGGGGACATGGTTTTGTGGTGAAAACAGCAGTGCTGGGCTAACGGTTGGACTCAACAGTCTTAGAGGTCTTTTCCAGCCTAAAGATTCTGTGATACCGTGATTCTATGATTCACGTCTTTTAAATTCCCCCAGGGAACCACCACTGCCATGGGCACCTGGGCTCACTCTGGCTCATGTTCAGCCACTGTCAAACAGCACCCCCAGGTCCTTTTTCACGGAGCAGCTTTCCAGCCACTCTGCCCCCAGCATGGAGCACTGCAGGGGTTTGTTGTGACCCAAGGGCAGGACCTGGAACTTGGCCTTGCTGAACCTCACACAATGGGCCTCAGGCCATCATATAATCAATTCAACAGAATCTCTGTTTGTGGGATGAATCTGGTACGAGCACTCAGCCCAGCCGTCCCATCTGTATTTCGAGAGCCATCTGTTGGGAATTGTTAATTACTGCACCTTTGGCCTTTTTCCTTGGAGAGCTGGTCTATGGAAGTAACATCTTCCTACATCGCCCTTCCTTCACAGAGTCATAGAAAGACCTGGGTTGGAAAGGACCTTAAAGGTCATCTCGTTCCATCTCCCTGCCATGGGCAGGAACACCTTCCACTAGAGCAGATTGTTCAAAGCCCCTTCCAACCTAGCCATGACCACTTCCAGGGATGGGGCATCCACATCTACCCTGCCTTCCGGCCTTCCATCTTCGGAAACCCTCCATTCCCCCAAGCTGGTAAGAGCAGGCATCTTTTCACTGAAGAGGGAGGATATAGGAGTACCCAGTGGTTTTACCTGCAAAGACCACTGAGAGAACACAAGGATATGGGAAGGAAAACCTACCTTGACCCTAGAGGCACAGGTATGGGAATTGCAGAGGAAAACAATCACAAATGAGGGTTCTTCCAGAAAAGTTGCTACCCGGTCTCCAGAAGGCATTTCCCAGGCAGAGTTGAAGGGCTAATTGTGTAGGAATATAGGCTTGTATAGGAATAGAGGATCCCATGGAAAGAATGGCATGAAGCTGTGTCAGGCGAGTTTAGGTTGGATAGTAGGAAAAGGTTCTTCACCCAGAGGGTGGATGGACACTGGAACAGGCTCCCCAGGGAAGAGGTCACAGCACCAAGGCTGACAGAGTTCAAGAAGTGTTGGGACAACACTCTCAGGCACATGGTGTGACTCGGAGTGTCCTGTGCAGGGCCAGGAGTTGAACTCAGTGATCGTGATGGATCCCATCCAACTCAGGATATGCTGTGATTTTACAAGAAATTCTAATCCATTCCTACAAGAAGTCAATGGAGAATCCTATGAGCAGGACTAGAGGAGCCCTGCCTCTGTTCAATAGAGGACAACTGTGTTTAGCAGACCATTCCAATGGCCTGGAATATCAGACCTACAGGAGCATAAGGCTCTAGCGGGTAGTGGTGCATAGTGCACCCTAATGCCAACAAGCTAAACAGGGAACAACCCACTCCTATTTCTGGAGGGACAAAGGAACTTTTCGTGTTCCCATGGTCTTCCAGTGAGCAGGTGCACACGACGCTGGAAGGGAGAACGGCCAGGAGAGCTGACCCGAACTGGCCGAAGGGATATTCCATACCACAGAACACCAACCATGCCCAGTACATAAACTGGGGGAGAGTGGGGTGTGAATGAGCAGCTGTGTGGTACGTGGTTGCCAGCTGGGTTTAAACCTCAACAGGAGGGGAAGCCCTTGAAGTAGGAACACCCACAAGGAAAAGAAGCCCACGGGGCAGGAAATGTCAATAGGGAGATCTCCCTTCCTGTACCCAGAGTGGATGGACTGTGGTCACTGTAAGGTCTCATGGTCCCCATGGGGCCTGACTGGGGTAGGACACATGGCTCTGGGGCCCCAGGCAGAACCCAGGGGGCACAGGGAGATGCCAGTCATGGTGGCAAAGAAAGGGGTGCCCTCAGCTGCCTCCTCATTAATCCCATAACAGCCAGGGCAAGTCTGAGCCA